GGAACTGGGGGCACCCAATCAAGGTGATGGTCAATAGGTTCAGATATAAGGAAGTACTTCTTCACTCAATTGATGCTTAAATTGTGGAATTCATTGTCAGTAGATGGAGGGATGACAGCCATTAGTATTGATGGTTATAAAAAAGATTAAACAGATGCATAGGTCCGTCAAAAGCCACTAGCCATGATAACTAAACAGAACGTGCAAATCCAAAGGCAGTAAGCTGGTCGACTACTGTGTAAGATATGATGCTAGCAGGGAAGGGCAGGGAGGCCAAAATGACCCTGGAGAGGACCACACCTCTTCCATCACCACTCCCCTTCAGCTGAAGAACCAGCTGAGGGAAAGGATGCACTGCAATGCTCCTCCTTGCCAGCTCCACCATACCTGACCTGCCAGGATGAAGCCAGACACTTCTGGCCTTCTCCTCACCAGCCCCATCATGGAGGCAAGCACGGGCTGTGGTACACGAAAATAAATGCCCAGTTCACTCCTGGATGCTAGACTTGATGGACCACTGCTCTAATCCAGCTCTAATCCAGCAAGGCACCTTTTATGTTTTAGCCTATGTCTACTGAAAATAATGACTTGGATCTTATCTGATGCTCCCTTCCCCTGGTAACCTGTTGAAATTTCAGAATAGCTGGTGTGCATGTATTGGTATGGAGACTATAATACTGGAGAAAATGTTACAGGGTATGGGTGCTGCTCTTAGGAAGGAAGTAGATGAAATAGTCCCTGCTTCCCTCTGCAGTTGGAGTCTCTTGCATCTGTGGCTCTACTGATTTTACCTAATTCCTGTTCTCACTGCATTCCCCCATGCCCTGCATTTTGTCCAGGAGGTTTCCATAACTGCTAGCATTGGATTTCCAAAAGTGTTAGGGTGATCATGGGAGATGGAGTATGCCATGGGTGAATGTGGCACTTACCCTGAGTTTCACTTGCTGAATGGGAAAGAAGCAAGGGATTCAATAGTACTTGTTTTAAATTGTTAAATATGTTTTATAGTACCACAACACAATATGTGTATAAGAAATGTTGTGTTCTATTTATTTATTGGATTTTTACCCCACCCTCCCAGCCAAAGCCGGCTCAGGGCGGCTTACATAGAATCAATACAAAATTTACAATAATAACTAATATATGGGGTTTCAGTGAACAGACATTAGTAGAGGACTACTTTAGGGCAGATTCTATCTTAGGAAGAACAGCAGACACAGAATAGCTCGGGCCTTCACTACTATATTATCAGCACTGGTCCAGGGACTAAGCAATACACAAAAGAAACATTTTTCACTTCTTGATGACTTCAGTTGATCACAAACAAGGGAGCTTATGGTTATCAAAACACCACTCAGAAGAGGGCTCAAGGAATGTCTGAAATAATTAGAACTGACAAATCAAACTAGAGGATGTTTTATGTATATTACACAAATAAAGGTAATCACACAGCTTGATCATGGACACATACAAAATTATAAAAAGGTATATCCTATGCACCATAATATGCAAAATGTATCATGTGATTTAGCCAGCATCCTGCACTCAAATAACTTGTAAAGGGTTTGTAAACATTACAGAAAAGCAGTTCATTCCACAAATGAGAAACATCTCACTGGATAAGATTGTCCACAATGGGGGAACTTATATGGGGGAAACCATGAATTTTGTCCAGTGTGAACTAATTCCAAAAGAGAGTTCAGTTCCTGCCAGTGATTAAATGAGATGTATTACTTGGCTGCAGACAGATCAACACAATGTATGCCTCAAAACTCACTTCCAAGCACAACACCCTTGATGGATCAGGGCAAAATAGTTTACTATTAAAATTAGGCAGCAGTGTCTGAAGTAGCTTTGATTTTATCAGTCTTTACATCAGCAGAGGACAACCTGGTTCTTTATCTGTGGCAGTATTTGAAGCTGTTGGAATATTCACCATGCCTTTGAGAAACCATCTCTAAGAGTACTGGCTTAGAGCTTGTCTGTGCACAACAGAAGCTGGGGGTGCTGCCTTAACAATAAAGTCCACATGAAGCTTGTTGCTTTAGGAAAGAAATGGAAGTCTTTTATTGTCAAGGAACTACATACTAGTACAGGACAGGATGAGAAAACATTCTAGTTATTTATCTAGGCTACAATGGAGAGAGATTGTGGAGAGTGTGTCTTGACTACACTAAAAAGCAGGAAGGAGGTTAACTAGAAGGAAGGAGAATATCTGAGAATAGCAGTCTGGGTAAACAAAGGGCCACACTGCATGTTTGGGTGTGTCACAAGTTGGGTCTGGGTTCCCCACAGCCACACAGCAACTGAGGGGAAAGGTTTTAAAAATAAAGAAGAACCCAAATGGGCTTGGAATGCTGCTACGGGGGGAGGAAAGTTTTCTGCCTTCCTAAATAGTGCAAGTGGGAGGGGCTAATTTTCCAGTTTCTGCTCCACTTCGTGGAGTATTCTGTGCATGTGGAGCAGCCAAATCAGGGAAATAACTACCCCCTCCCCCCGGTGCTGTTTTGGCATGGCAAAACAGTATTTTGGGGGTGGAGGCTGGAGCCCTCCTTCCCCTCCTGCAGCATTTTAAGCCAATTTAGGCTTTTTTGATCCTACTTGTTCTACAATTATAGGCTTTTGCCACTACTACTAATGCAATATTTATATTATTCAGAATTTTAAATTGCTTGAACAAATAGGTTTTCCTGGAAGGAGGACAAGGGAGAGGATGTATTTCCCTTCCCCTTCTGTCATATTAAATTAATACAATCTCTGTTCCAATCAAATAAATAAATGAAGTAACAGCTATGTGATGTCTAGCAGTAATGTATTACATTTCTTTAAAATGTCATCTGGATGTCGATAGCATAGGTTTAGTATTTAGAGGCTATGCCAAAAGGAAATTATAACACCCTGGAACCACACAAATGTCTGATATATAAATGGAAACAGAGGTAGAATCAATGATCCCGTCTGCCCAGAATAAGTGATAGAACGATATTTTTCCAGTTGTTCATAATAGCCTGTTGTATATTCCCTAAAGGGACTTTCACATAACACAAAATGGATTTTGTGGCTTGGAGCACTTCTTGTAACAACAAGTACCAAGGATAGCTGGCTCAGTTTAAATGTGACAATATCAGCCAGTTCCAAATATACTTGAAGCCTTTATATGATCATGCCTGATTAAAAGATGCCATGAAGTTTTGTGAGATTACCAGTTAGAGGGGAAGCCAGCTGTCTTGCCTTCATAACAACTTTCATCCATACTACTAATAGAGATGTGGTTCACTAGACTTGCATTCCTTTCTGTTCATATTTGTATCATTCATTCATTTTTTAAAAAATATCCTGAGAACCTGTCCCACCTGACGGAAGTCTGTGTGCATAAAGTGTGGCTTGAGAGAAACGTTATGTGAATAAGCAAAAATGGAACAGCCGTCTTTTCTAGCTTTCTGAGACATGATAATAAAAATTATATATTTGCATAATACACAGGGAGAGGGGGGTCTCATAGCTAAAAACAAAACCAGGCAAGAACAGGGACAGGTGGGCACAGAATTAATCCTGGCTCCACTAGAGAGCTTAATTTGCTTCCTGCTTTCCTCCTACCCTTGCACAGCCCCTTCAGCTCAAAGAATAACTGATCCTGCAAGTTCCTTGTGCTTAAACGAAATAAATTCTGTGAGTTCCATAAAAATGGAAGGCAGAAACATGTCCATTGATTACTCAGTGGATTGAAGACTTGTCACTCCTCTTCATCCATCAAACTGTAAAGTTTAAAAGCCAGCTGCAAGAAGACTCTAGCTACATTATCTGGTCCAGCTATGCAGAAACATGTCACGTCATCAGAGCAGGGCATATCATAGAAAATAGGGTAAATAAAACTTTCGAGAAAATGTAATATTTCTCTGTTTCCCCTTTCTAGCTCTCCTGCCCTTTTCGTTTGGCATCACTTTCTTTCTTTCCTCTTCCATTCTCTTCATTCCCTTCCCGTTCTGTTTTACCCCGCTGAACAGTAACCTTCCTCCTTCCCTCCACTACCCACTGTATTGTTGTTTGTACTGAAATTAATCTAATGAACGTAATGTTTTGAAGTCTGTACCATTCTTAAGCAAATACACATATGTATGTGCTGTCAAGTTTCAACTGACTTATGGCACCCACAGCAAGGGGTTTTCAAGGCAAGTGATTAAGCAGAGGTGCCTTCCTCTGAAGATTCTTCCTTGGTAGTCCCTCATCCAAGTACTAACCCTGCTTAGCCTCCGAGATCTCATGAGATGGGCTGTATCATACCACAGGCAAATACTACTGTTAATTAAGGGGGGGGGAAGTATACATTTGTTAAGAAAGGTGTGTGTAGGTATGTTTTGCTCATAGCATCCATTCGGTGTCTGACGGTGGTTGGATAGCCCAAGACTGGAACATAGATATATGTGGTACCTCTCCATCCTGTACTATCCAGACTGCCAGCTAAGATATTTCTCTCAAGCCCTGCTGTCTGTGCTCCACCTTCAGAGATGAGGCGGGTAGCAACCAGAGACTGGCTTTTTCAGCAGTGGCACCTTGCCTGTAGAAGCCATGCTCCACAAGGCTCTCCTGGCACTTACCCTAATCTATTAGGTGCCGGACCAAAATGTTTCTTTTTTTTACTAGGCTTCTAATCATAGGGTTGATATTTTAACATCATTTTTATAGTCTGCATTTTAGAACTGTTTTGGTACTCTTCTTGAGAAGCTTATTGTTTTATGATGTTTTGGTGCCCTGGCTGGCTTTTAATACCGAGGTTTTGTTAACTTATTATTGTACAGTGTTTTTATTATTTTAATTTTGCAAGGCGTTCTGAGCTTACTCTAGAGAGGCAGCACAGAAATTTTCTAAATAAATAAATGTGTCTCTAGACAAGTGCAGATTGAAGCAAAGGAAAATGGAAAGCTGGCTAGTTGCATCTATTCTTATCCATCTGTTTTGAGGTTTAGCCATTTTCATTGGCAAATTATCTTTTTCCTTCTTAGGCATCTACACTGGTTCCAGCACTAACCATAATGGACCATCTCCCAGTCTCTTGCCATCATCTCATGATATGCCTTCAAGGCAACGCACACTTGAGTCAGCCCTCATCAGTACGCACCATCATGTATCACCTATAGAAGGCTCTAGAGAAGGGTATGTATCAAAAACAAGTTGAATATGTATTCGTTGTAGTGTTCCTCACATTTTTTGAATTCAGGTAATCGTTCTCAGTTTACATCATCTTCTCTGAGCTCCCAGCCCAGTCCTAGGTGTGTATTCCACAGGTGAATGTGTACAGTTGCATGCATAATAGCTGCTGCATGTGATGATCTGTGGACTGGGGTAGCAAACCCACACTTGGATTAGAAAAAGTATTGAACAGGGGCACGCTTTCTCCTGTAACCAGGTAGAGAAACACCTTAAGAAAGAGCAGGTCTTTCCGAACTTCCCTTCTTTCCAAATCCACTGAGGTTTATGGGCAGTGAAGATGCAGTCACATCCACCAACTAAGTATGAGTTAGTCAGTGCTAAGAGAATCTACCCAGGTCTTGGCTGGTGGAGGAAAAAGGCACCACCTGCCCTAGGAATGGATCCTGTCCCTTCCTGGAAAGTCACAAAGTGGTCTACCTCACATTATGAAACCTACTCACTTAATTACAGGCTATCCATTCAACTGTGATGAATTCATATTTGGAATTGCATGGATTTCTTCTTTGGTAAGAATATGTATATACTTTGTAAATGATGTTTCTGAGAACCGTATGACTTTGCTGTGGTGGACTTGGTTTACAAAATTCCAGAGACTTCAAAGACAAATTATAGATAGCAGCACTTTACCCCCAAAGTATCCTTAAGAGTAGATGTTTCAGATCCTAGCCACTGATGTTGATCATGTTTTACTGAGGAACAAAACAGAGGTAATTATGTTGAGAACTACAATCATCCTCAGAGTTCTGGGGCTTAGCAGCCTAGTATTTGTTCTATGAGGAGAATGGGACTGTCATAGTTCTTGTATTTTTTAAACAAAATACAAAAATATAACACATTTAAGGGAGCAAAAAGCTGACCCAACTATTACATAAGTTCCATTACTATAAGAATGCTTCATCAGATGAGTTTCTATGGGAGTATCCTTGATCATCAGCGTGTATTTTTTTCTCTGGCTTCTTATAAGACCCTGCCTTCATATTCTACATACCGTACACATAATGAAGTAGCAAATGCCGGGGGGGAAAAAAAAAGGTGGAAAAGCGCGGGGGGGGGGGGGGAGGGTGGTGATCCTAAAAGAGGATTCTTTCTGTTCACAAAATCTGGAATAAATGTTTCAAGGTATTCAGACTGCATCTTGAGTAGAATGTGTCCAGGAACTTTAAAAGTGGCATGCCATTTATTTCAATCTTGAATTCATTTCCTAGGTATACCGTATTTATAATTCCAGCCTTCTTTTCTTCACTTTCTTCTCACTTGTATTTTCTTCCCCTTGTCATCATCACCACCATCACCAAGATGCTGATGACTAAATAATGACCCATTTGGAGAAACTTTTTTAGAGTCTATTGCTTAGCCATATGCTGTTGTAGCTATTTGCTGTTGCTTTATTCATTATGCCCACTGAAGCTTTTGTGAATGGTTTCTATTTTGGTTAGTTAGTTCCCCTTATATATTATAGACTGACCTATGCCACGTGAGTTCAATTTTTAATTTGAATTTCCCCTAAAAGTGCCAGTTGCCAGAAACAGATGAATGTTCATTGATCTTGGTTGGAACTGGAGTTCTTAACTGGAACGGTTTGCAACTAGTTTTAAAACCAGTTCTGACTAAGCATGCTATGAAGAAGCAATGCTTGGTAATTTAGTAATGAAAATAGATTACAAAAACAGTGTCACTAACTAGGCCATAGTAATGACATGGTTCAAGCTAAGAAGAATACATATAGAAATTAAGACTGAAATTCCTGAAGAATTCCTGAAGAATTTTGTTTAAATCCTTCTTTTAAACTGGGAAAACTGTTATTGTTGTTTGGTGACTTGACTTCTAGTAGTGTATTTCTGCCAGAACTATATGGTAGATTATTGTTGTAACAGAAGCAATATAAAATACATTTGATATTTAAATGATCTGTGGATTTAAGTGCAGGTTTAATAAAAATTATGTCTTTGACTGACTCTTTAAGTCATATTAATTGAAAACATAGTCATGGATGTTACAGGCTATCACAGGCTATTAGCCTTCCTTTTGAGCATTTATAAATCTTACATCCAGTTTTTTAACTTGACACTATTGGTTTGCATCAACATAGAATATAATCAGATTCCAGAGGTTAACAGTGATGCACCTGTGTTCCCTCAGATAAAAATGTACACTGCCCAAATGAAACAAACCCCTATAACTATCCTTCATTATGCAAGCGGCTTTACACATCTGGCAAGCATGCAATGTTTTGCCTCACTCATCACCTATCTCAGCCTCCATGTTTTAAGTACGTGTACCGAATTTCTCCACTGTGAACCAGTATGATGACAAGGTTGGATTCCTGGGTTTAAATCTTTGGGACAAACCAAAATGGTTGCTATCAAAGCACATCATTATTGAGTCATCAAATGTGGGTGAAGCCAAAAGCAACATGAAGTAGAGCACAAGAAGTCTACTCACATTTGACAGAAGACATTTTGATTTAAAGCCTTTTTTAAAACAACCCCCCTTGTTATACCATTCTTTGCCAAAGTCAATAACAAGTGCAGTGCTCAGTTTTCCCAAATGATTTGCAAAGACATTTAAATAGTTTGACAAAAATTATTTAATTTACTTGAAAATGTTCTAACAAAATCTGACTTCATTACCAAATATATTTACACTGGCTGTGTATAAGATGTATGATTTTTTTTCTCTTCTATAAAGAAGTGTGTGAAGTGTTCAGAACGCTGGATCAAGTAATTTTATACTAATTTATATTAATATTAATTAGAAGAGAAGTGTTTGATTTAGAAATATTTTGGCACATAGAAAGTGGAGCTTGTCATGATACAGGGTTTTTTTTACTGTTTCAGGTAGTGAAGTGTTATTTTAGCATTACTTATAGCCCTCACCATAAATAATGACAGCCTCTGTTTAATTTCACCAGTTGTGAAGATAGTAAAATTTGATTTGTGGCTGTCTAAAGATGGAAAATAGCGCTCCATCTTAAGACTTGTCTGCACTAGAAAATTTCGCAGTTATGTATGGGTGGGTGTGTCCATGCATCATGTGTACTAGTAAATATAGTTTGCTTTTTTCAAACACAGGTATGTTTATGGCACCAACGGGAAAATTTCCACACCTCTCGTCCCAGTTTGGCCCATTTTCACTAGATAAATTGGAACATTTTGTACCTTTCTTCATAGAACTTTTATTCAGAGAATTGGGGGAGGGGACTAGACCATCATTAGCAAGGTAGGAGCCACTACTCACTAACCATCAGTGTATCATCCCAAATAATCTAGGTCACTGGGTATCATAACCAGAAAGCACATATCAGGTGAGTAATAGTGCCATTCTAAAGAGAAAAGAGCAAGAGTCCAGTAGCACCTTAAAGACTAACAAAATTTGTGGTAGGGTATGAGCTACCCGTCTTGATTCTAAGGAGAATGACAGCCTTCTAAGCCCATTGACTTCAATAGACTTAGAATTGTGTAACTCTGCCTAGGATTGCACTGTAAGAGAGGGGTCACAGCAGATCTCCTCAGGTCTGTTTAGTGGGGCTTACTCCCAGGAAAGTGTTCTTATGAGTGTACTGTAAAGCAAGGAAGACAACTTCACCTGCTCTAGATTTGGAAGGGGACTGTCTTATTATATATTAAGCTGTGATACGGCAGTTTGCAAATAATGGTCACCTTTGGGTTTGTGGAATGCTGTTTGTGAAGCAGCCTGTCTTTGAATGTTTTGAGCCATGTATTGCATATGATTAAATGGTAGAGGGTATCATGTCATAGGGCTTGGCAACAGTTATGCACTTTTGTCTGTAAGACTCTTATTTATAAACTAACGCAGTAATAGTTTGTAGGAAAACCCCACTGTATACTGCTTTCAAATTTGCCCTTTCTTTAGTGTAGGCTTAAGTAAGTTTTGGAGCATATTGAAGGGGCAAAATATATATATTTCCCTAAAATGGAAGACTATTACTAAATGAGCACAGATTCCAGAATGAGAACAAATAGAATGGCTGATAATTGGATATTTTTGATCCATTTCAAAAAAGGCAAAGTTTCACTCCCTACTTGAACAGCTGAGTGTCAAGAACCAACATATACTGTACTTTCTGTAGTCTGGTTTAGGGGCAGAGTATTCGATACAGCTTTAGAATATGGATAGTGAGGGTATTTTAAAATATAACTTCATTACTCTTTTATTCTGTAAATTTTCTGCAGCTCCTGATTTGTATCTTTATGTGTGATGGGGCTTACTCAGTCTTTGTTTGGGGTGAACAGGCTGGAACAAAGCCTAACAAGCTGCTTTGCTTTATGAGCTATTTTACTGGGAATAAAAAAGATAGTTCAGAAAGATTTGTTGGGTTCTATAAATGGAGGTAGGATCTGGATTTTACTGTTGTTTGAGTACTGCCTTACAGATTGTGGACATACAACTTGTGGGCAGAACATAAGAAACTGGCACAAAATAGAAAGCCTTGCTTTCTTAATGCAAAACACATGGTGATTCTTTTTGTTTAAAGTAACATTTTTGTACGCATTAAGAACCAACTCTTGCTCAACTTGCAGTTAGTGAGAGAAAGCAAGTAAATCAAATAGGATTTGGACCATTGTTAGCATTTCAGTCAGTGGGAAATAAATAAACCTTTCCCCTTCCTAAAACAGATCGCAGTACATACATAATTTTCATAACAGTTGCCTGTGGTCATAGAATATAGCCTTGCTTGTTGATGTCACTGGAATTAATACTGTTCATTTACAACTAAATACCCACATTGGGCCTTCTTCCTACCACATCACACTGCTGACTCATGTTCAGTGTATGGTCTGCTAAGACTCCTAGATCCTTTTCATGCATACTACTGCCAAGACAAGTCTCCCCCATCCTATAATTATGCATTTGATTTTTCCTACCTAAATGCAGAACTTTATTTATTTATTTAATTAATTAATTTATACCCCGCCCTCCCC